TGGCAAAGCACATATATTTCTTAATTTTTTCAATATATTTTGATTAAATTTGATTTTAACGACAATATTATAGTAGTGATCATTTTCACTTTAACAGAAACTGTGGTATTTAATAGAGAGATTGCGAATAGTAGTAAACAACAACAACAAAAATTATTTTAATATTGTTTTAATTAATTTAATTTTTCATTTACAATACAGCTGTTTCAAGTATTGTCAAAAACCAATCATCAGTTGTTTGAGGCTGGAATTACCAGAAATCGAACTCATGCCCTGCCAAATTTGAAGCTCAAAGTCAACGTTCCTTAACCAACTGACCCAAAGCCGTACTGGACTTTTATGTTCTCATATTTTTCTGAAGTTTTGTTGATTTGCTCTGAAAGTTCATTAACAAACTCACTTGTTGTGTTTATATTAGAACGAAATAATAAACCAACTGTAGAATAATAAAATTAATAATTTATATTCAATATATAAATAGGTATTATGCATATAAATATATATATAAATATATGTATCATATAGCTTAATTAAAATAACATAAAAATAATTTGTTGTTGTAGTTTACTACTATTCGAAACCTCTGTATAATATATTTTGATGGAATAATTTGTCTGGACTTGTAAGAAACCCAGACAACTCGTAAGTGATTCTTTGATTTTTTAATTTAATAACAATATATTTCTTATATAACAAAAAATAAAATGTATTTTTTATATAATACAAATAAATACATTCTTTATTTTAATATTTTTATTGGAAAAAGTTCACTATTCATTCATACCCAAAAGTATTTTTTAAAAACTTTATAAATTTGAGTAATGGTCCGCGATGAAAGCATACTTAACTTTTCACTTCAGCTTTGGAAATCCATACGTCGTATGTCGTATCCTTGTTCGCAGTACAAAATAAAACACTCCGAACATATTCAGGTGTATTTTGAAAAGGAATGAAATTGGAGGTTTAACATTTTATTGACTGTTCACTCCATATATGAGATGCTGAAATATTGGCAAATGAAAATAGTTGACAGATGGTTTAAAAATATTCTTTTCGAATGTTTTGAAGTTTTAAACATTTTATTTGATTTTAGTATTATGACAATCGCATGAATAATGAAAAAAGTTTATGTGAATACTTTATTGGGAAATATGATTTATTTTTAAACTTATAAAGTCGTGGAATTTTAAAATGCTTATCTGATTACTGGCATGGGTGTAGTTAGTAAGGTGGGCAGGACACACCAGGTAGAAACAATTTTTGTTCATAAATTAAATTTTTAAATTTTTAAATAATTCCTTTAAAATGGTATATTATTTATAGGGAAGTTTCATTTAGACTTGTGGTATCAACATGATCCCAGCAGGACTTCACAGTCACTCAAGCCTCGTTTGAACCATTGTGTTAACGTAACGAACTTCAGTAGTTGTAGTAAAGAAAAACTGGCTGACATGATACATCCTCTTGACTGATAAGAACCTAATATTTTCATTATTTCTTTATTATGACCTGAACAGAAATAAAGCAGATGTTTGATGGTTTTATCTTCCATCTTATCATTGCAACTTGTTTCCTCAGTAGTCAACAGATATGATACCCAGTTTTGTTGTACGTCGACTTCAATGGTTTATGATGACACAAATCAGCATAAAGTTTATATTTATCCACATTGAAAGCAGATTTTGTGATTTTGACCAAATAATGTTTCTGAATGAACATGTTGTTTTTCAATTCCACCGTTCATTTACTTTGTTTTTCTGATTAAAAATTTACAGGTCTTTAAATATGCATCAATCTATTCTTTGTTTAGAAATATTTTAGTGATAATTTGACAACAGTAATTTTAATATTACGCTTTGTAGAAAACATTTTTGCACATTTACTCAAAATTGTTTGAGTTCTACAAACATATTTCTACTACATGGTCCTACATGAGGGGTCGGCACCCTCTCCCTACAGTTTCCCTAAAGCAAATACAAATTTGCTTTACTTAACCTTCAACGACAAAACTTTTATGGTAGTTGACGGCAGAACTGTTTCGGGTATTACGAAATATCATAACTGATTTTTGTAAATATTTTTTTTATATAATAATCAGTAAATAATTTTTAAAACTTCAAGTATCAAGAGTTAGACTTGTGCCAAGATGAGGAGGAGGTTGAATCATCAACCACTTCCTGTGTTTCTATCCAGGACTGCAGACAAGGCGACTTCAATGTGTTGGGGATCGCTTTTTCACTGCCGTGACAGAGATAACGAAAGCAAAGCTATCCAATTTTTGTAATTTCATTTTGAAATCCAAATGGTTTAACAAGGAAAGCATGCCTCTGAGTGGAAGTTCTGATAACTGTCAGCACGCGTCTTCTCAACTTAACCTAATCTAGGGTTCAGACATATACTCTACCAAATTTGAAGCTCAGAATGAATGACACACTTTAGTAGTCGATTACTCTAAAGACGAACTTGATTTGTATGGTTTTAACTAGAATGTTTGTCTTATTAATGTTCATCAGTATCTATACAGTGTTGGCAGACCTAGATTTTCAACAAAAAGAAAAACAATTTTCTTGTTCAAATTAAAATCTATTCAACTATGTTAAGAAGGTCTATTAACATCACAAACTGATGATTCAAATTTACATGATATCAGCCGCTGTAGCCCTTATTTCCAGACAGATGTTAGCCCTTAGTATGTCTACCATCTTTGGCTTTGAATTCAGGTAGTCTCAGAGAAAGAAGTCTGGCGGTATCAAATTGGGCGAACGTGGAAGTCAGTCAAAGTCACTATTATTTTTATCGTGCGATCGGGGACTAACGGCTTCAAATAATCTCAACGCAAATTGAGCCACGAGCTGTATGAGATGGTGTGTCATTTTATGGAAACCAGAAGTGCTGTATACCATTTTCACTAACAATTCACTAATTGTTTATTATGGCCCGATAACATATCTAGTAGAGGGTTGTTACTGTGTCACTGACGTCTTCAACACAGTATGATCCTTATTATCGTCCTATCATTATGAATTCTGTGTCACACTTTTAATTTTTGGTAGTAAAGAGACTTTTTTTTCATTACAAAAAAGGTTTTTCATTTGACGGTTTTCTTGAAATAGAAGCGATAATGTGATAATTTTTTTGTTTATGGATCCGTTTAACATAAAATGGAGCTAACACTCATAATGATAGTTTGTCAAAATTCTTTCTGAACTTCAGCACTTTCGAATAGTGTGTACAGCTACATTACTAAAATTTATTGATGTTATATAGTCATGGTATCATCAGGCATTCGCAGTTTCCTTGTTAAAGTTACAGTGTTGTCAGGTGGGTCCACTCAATATGGCCACCCTCTACTTGCTGTTAAAACGAAAGCATAAACAACAGTCGTACATCATTAACTCTTTATAATTAAGTGTTTAATGTTCTATGATAAGAACTCTATTTCAAATAGTAAAAATTAGTAGTGTTGTGAAATTTTTTAAAGCTATTTATATTTGTGTATTAATCAAGTAAATTCTTGTGCTGTTTCACATATTGCCAAATATTCACCATCAGTAGTCTTTGGAAAAATCTATTGGTTTGATTATCCGTATATAATTTTATGTATTTATTATTTGGATTCAATATATATAATTTTATTATTGCAATTCAATGCTATTGAAATCTTTTCATTTAAAAAATAGTTACATTTGTAATATTTAACTTTATATTATAAGTTTAATAAATATCAAATTTATTTTAGAAAAAGTTTGGATATACGAGTATTTATTTAATAAAAAAGTTTTATTACGCTATATATAAATTAATTTTCATATAACTCGTAAAAAATCTGTGTTATTTCATTAAACTTTGTGTTATTCAGTTCGGAGCACAATGGAGTAGGGAAAAAACTCTAGCCAACATTTATTTTCATTATGTGGCCTGTAACTTTTAAAATTTTTCATAATTTAGCCAATTTTGCACTTGTAAATTTTTGAATTTGTGCTAAAAATATTGATTTTGACGGGTTGAAATTCCTAAACTGTCAATGCCTTTTATTGCATCGTTGAAAATGGGTTGCATTCTACTTTAATGAATTCCTCAATTTGCATGTTCTTGCAACAAAATTTCCATTTAGTGCCGTTCTTTAGGTATCCTCATAAAAAGAAAATATTTCTCATTTATGTATGTAGGACGAAGGACACTTTATAGATATACAGTTTATTACATATTATGAAATGTATATTCATATGCAGTGCAGTGCAGCGCAGTGCAGTTGGAGTGCAGTGCAGTGCAGTGGAGTGCAGAGCATTTTCCATTATTAACAGTATTGAAAATTAAGTACAAAATAAGTAAGGAAATCGTTGTTGGCGCAATAGTATAATATATTGTGTACCCGTATGTGCTCTTTTCATACAAAATCATACAAATTCTACAAAAAAAGCAAATAAAAATATAATGAAAAGTAAACAGTA